ATTCTATATTATAATGTCCACAAAATTGTAGAAACATTTGCGATTTGATCAATTCATGAAATTGAGACTAAAGACTCAGTAACAGAAATGATTCGCAGCTACAATATTTAATTTTTGATTCATTGTTTTTCCAAGTCTCTTGTGAAATCCATTTAACAGAAGGTGAGCAAACAAGTACTCAAGACTGAATTAGCGAAAGGTGGCATAAAGTGGTAGCAATAGTAGTGCCGTAACTAGTCTTAACATATATCTGTATGATCATATCTTTTAATTATAAGTAGTAGGATTGCGATTTCCAGTAATCTGTTACTCATTGAAGCAACGATTTTAAAGGGCGGTGGTCGTCGCGCCACGCATGCGCAAAAATATGGGTCTTAATGAACAAAAAATGGTGACTTTAACCACGGTTACTAGTAACCGTGTTTCAACTGTTGCGCAGACCAACAAATACAAACTGAGACGTTACCAAGCTTTAATTAGGTATTTTTAAGGTGAGTGTATGGTATCGAAGAAGTCACCGGCGATAAACAGTCTCGCCCAGATCAGAACTCGTACTCGTGGCTTTTTTAGAAGAACGCATTGGACTGTAGGACAATCAATGTTTATTAACACAAATGCAAGACGTGCGACCACCGCCCTTTAATTGTAATGTACACAGAGGATGGGAATAGTACATATGGCTAAAAGGGTTTATAGTCCTCTACTGGATGTCATGCTTCCAAGTCTGTTATTTAATAGTATGGATTCTTACCAAACTGACATATGTAGTAATGGCGACGATTACAATCTTCATCAACCCATAGATGATTGACAGATGACCTGTAGAAATGAAAATACAGATGTTGTAAAGGTAGCATAAACAATATCAATTATGAAAAAATACACACACTAGTGATTGAATAGTTAAAGCGGGGGGGGGGGGGGCGTCACCTGCGCACGCGCGGGAATTGAGTCCCAAGCGACGCTAACAACACACGCTAAAAACGCAAAGGCTCATGGTTGGACGCTTGTTTTTAAACAATGAAACGCTATGGCAATCTGACGCATGTGCAGGTGATGACTCCCCCGTTTTAATTAATTATCTTAGAAATTTCATGAAATAATACCGATTTATCCTATGAACACTGTATTGCAAGTGCATGCCGTCTATTATCCTAAGACGTGAACAATCTACGAATAATTGACTAGTGAATAGGTCTGGAGCGATATGGGCTATCTTTGCGTACGGATCAGTCTGCGCATGCGAGTTCCCATGGTAATCTACTGAAGTCATGGAGACAGCCAATCAGTGATATGTGCCGTCCACGTATTTACATGGCGATTTACCAGACCATTATTAACTGGATTATGTATTTTCTAAAAAACTTGTTTGTTAATTTTGGATTTTCTACGGGTTAAGCAAGCATTTGAATATAATAATTTTGTGAAAGGTGGCAAAAGTTGGATTTGGCATTCAAAGTACGTCTAAAATGAGCAAAAACGTATAGGTCTTCAAACTTGTTTCCATGGAAATTGTACTATATTTTGAGTACTATCCGTCGTCTATAACTCCCACAGCTTGACAAATTGACAAATTAGTTTTTATACCTTATCAATGCACAGTTTTTATTGATGTTGTTGTTTGGTTCAACATCCCAGTTGGTGAAAAACAAAAACACACCGTCTGAATCCAACCAATCGTCTTCATTTGCATCGTCCGAAGCATCAAACCAGTAATCCCCTGTGTATGAACAATGAGATATGTGTTGCAAATAAAAGCTTACGTAATTGTCATCTTAGTGTAGAATGAAGTGTAACTAATTT